CGCCGCCGCGCATTATACGGGACAAGAGGGAGAGGGGGGGGGGAGAGAGAAAGAGAGAGAGAGAGAGAGAGAGAGAAAGGGGCAGAGTTAAAGCAGGAGACATTCCGAGAGGGGGACAGAAGGGGGTAGCGAGAGCGCGTGAAAAGAGTCGCGGCAAGTTCGGACCGGCCCGTAAGTCTCTCCGTAAAAAGAGGAAGCTTAAAGAGAGAGAGAGAGAGAGAGAGAGAGAGGGGCATTGCGTGAAACCCAAATCACGCGGGAGAGACCGTTCTCCACCTCGGTCGACCGATCGGTCGGCCGACTAATATAATATCAGCGACGCCTGGAAATGCGATAAACCCCGTCGCGCCGTCCCGACCGTCGCGTCGCGTCGCGTCACGGCGCGGCCCGCCGGCTCTAATTAGCGGCTCCATATCGGAAATCGATGCCGGTGTAGCCGCGCCGATGCGATGTAGTATTCGCGGTCGATTAAGAGCGTGTCTCGGCTAAAAGGTAAAACGCAGCTCACCAGCGATACGCGTCTCTACGGTTCTATTTCTTGAATATATCTCATCGAAAACGCGCGCTACTAATCCCCACCGATCGAAACTAATTAACGATTTCGGTATATATATATATCGAAAATCCATATGTTGGACGACAATGTTGCGTTCGCAGTCGATTAAGAATATCTCGATAAAAGATAAAAGCCTAAGTGCACTAACACATCCATTTATGTACTCTCTATTCTATGTGGAATTCTATTTTATCGAAAAGACACTGCTATTCCTCGAGACGCGATCCGGCTCTTGTTTCTCATTAGCGATTCCATATTGGAAATCAATTTAATATCTATTCTCGATCGATTAAAAACATGTTCTGATAATAGAGGAAATTATCAATAATTTTATTTATTATTTTCTACTTTGTATACATATGTATTTTATCGAAATATATACTAATATTATGCTAATGAGGTTTGTGGTTTCTAATTACAGACTGTATATCAGAAATCAATTATTTAATCAGCAATATGGTATTTGCAATCGATCGGTAATAAGTCTTGCAATATCTCTATTACACTGTACGAAAACTTTAAACTATCCTCTGCGACAGAAGAACTTTATATCAAATACAACACGTTAAATGTGTAACGATAAATATTATTTGTATTTTCCAAATTATAATTATCCATTTCTGTGAAGCATTGTAAAATGATGGTGGATCGTAATTGATATCGATTACGTTAAAAGTATCGCCGTAACGAAAGACTATCTATTTCACAGCAATCTGCGTAACAGCACGAGAACGCTAATTGAATCGAAAAAAACTGGATAGCATCGCCGGCGAATGATTTGCAGGAGTCAACGGGGTCATCCGCCACAATGGAAGGAAGGATCGCGAACTCCTAGACTGCGTCTAGCACGAAAGAAATCGTCAAGCTTGGAACAGTACCAGGAACTTTCCGAATACGAAATCCGCGATTCTTTTCGAACTGAAGCATTTAGGATAGGACCGAAAGTTTATGATAACGCGAGGATCTCGTGCGATGCACCACAAAATAAATATGTGTGAGAGTAAGACAGAAAGAGAGAGAGAGAGAGAAAGAGATGTATTTTGAGTTCTTCAATTCTATATATGATTAGCTATCGAAAGACAAGTGTTATTCTTGTATGATAAAATGTTGACAAGTACTCCAGG